GAGGCAACCACAGCAGAGCAAATAGCTGAAGGAAGAGCACTGTTACAAGAAACTCAGCTATGAAGTGCTTTCACAGAAAATTTACACACAGTGAAACTCAACAAGTTTTACAGATCTGTTTTCATGCTCTGCATTTATATTTAGGGCTGACTTAAACTTTTATTTCAGTTATAGAAGTTGTAGTACAAATTCATTTGCATTGTTTGGTTCCAACTCTTCTATTTTATTTATAAAAAAAACACCATAATGAATGAGAAGTATTCTTCTCTGTTCTTTAAATAACCTCTGTACTGCACACTCTGAGTGCTTCACAAATATACTCACATTTTTTTAATTAATTAATTAAGAAAATGCTGTTATCCTTAGCACTGGGAGAAACCAAACTACTGATAGATAGACATTTACACTTTTGAGGGACCTATATCCCATGGGAGATTCCAATGAAAGGGAATGTGGGTGTCTGGCTTACATATTTTGATTGAAGAAGAAAGAAAAACTATGTGTTCTAAGGTCAAGATTCTCAGGAGAGGCTTGTTGTTTCACTTCTTACATAAAAACATTTATGTTTCAGCCTCACAGCACCTACAACAATGAACAGGGCATGAGGAAAGATAAGCAGAAGTTTTTAGTCAATCAGCCTCTATCTTTTTCCCCACTTTTGTCTTTCTTTCCTTCCAGATACATGAAAGAGAAAGAGCATACAATAGTTCTTAACAAACCAAACTAAAACCCAGGTATATCTTCTGATCCTTATCAGGACAATGACACAACAGCACAGTATGCTTAGAGGAATGAATAATATTTTGCAAATAAGTATACAACTGAGACAAGTATTTATGACCAAGAGATATTTGCTTCCTATGCGTGATAGAAATTTTATCATACAAGAAATTATACGACGTAAGAAGACCTATAGTGCATTCCCTGACACTTAGGTCCCCCATCTGACTGCACAGGTAATTCAGAAATGTTACATTCTAAATTCTAAATAATAAATTCTTGTTATTTGTGTTTGAAGTCTAGCAGTCCAATGTTACATACTGATGTAGGTGCTACTAAACACTTCATGATGTATTTCACACTGGTATGAAAGCTCGACTTTTCAAAAAGTGATACATTTTCTCATGGACATTTTCCCTGTTAGTTACAAAGCAAAAGACTAGACTTGCTAGTGGATACTTTCAATACCAAACTTTTGGCATAGACCATGTAGAAATTTCCTTAATTCAGAAAAAAATTCTGAAACTCTTACTCATATTAAACTGTCTTCAACATAATTTGTGGCATGTCACTTAAATTTATACTGGATACCAATAGAAAAATGGTCTTACAATCTCTTTGCAATCCTTCTGATCTACGGAATGGCTTCAATACTGTGTGGGTAAAACTTTTACCCACATACTGATAGCATCAGCAGTAATATTATCAATAAAAAATCATCTGATATTATCTACTTTTGCAAAGAGACTTGCTGTAATAATAAAGAAATTAAAGACTTCTTTACTATGAGGTGTTCATGGAGCATTTAAATTTATATTCATGGAACCACAATAAACTAGGTAATATTTCACATTAAGAGTGAAGATGATCCCCGTCTTGACACAAGCTGATCATTTCCTAGAGTATCTCAAGGAAGAAAAGATCAGAAACAGGACTGAAGAAAATTTAAAATAAAATACTGCAAAGAAATGGCTTCCCAGAGTACCATACAAACAAAATAACTTAGCTAGAAAAAAAAGGCAAAGGGAAAAAAAAAAAAAAAAAAAAAAAAAAGTTTAAAACCTCATTAGTTTCCTTTGCAGAATATTTTAACGTACCAAGGAAGAACAGTTTTGATCTTCTCAGCTGAACAGCTAATGAATAAAATCTTAGATGCTATAACATCTCCCATGTGGGAGTTTGGGAGCTTTGATTCAGAAAGTGCCAGAGAAAAATAAGAATGGAGAGCAAATTTGATATAATTCATAAAGAAGATGGTCTTTTGTACCATAGCTCAGATCTGGAAAATAATTCAGGTTCTGCAAAAGAGGTCACTGAATTGTGGCTCTTTGCAAGTATCAGGCTATTTCCTACTATTTCCTTTGTCTTGTCTTTTCCCAGATGGAACATTTTTCTTAAGCAGTAGACAAATAATAATAGAATAGAGCACATAGGAGTGAAATTAGAGCTCTCCATCAGCTAGTCTATTTTATGCTTCTTACACCATGAAGTGAACTTTACTGTAACTTCTCTGGCTCCATGAATTTATATAAATGATAGAGGGAACTAATGCATACAGAAGGATGAATGGCAGTAAAAATAGAGCAGATGTCAAGACTTACTGTAAAGTATACCAGGGCTTTAAATCTGCTATGCATTGTCCAGACTTGTATGAGTTTCTCCTGTTACAAAATGCCCAACTGGCTTCAACACTGAAAGCATTCTGACTGATTAATTCATGTGAATCAGTAAAAGAAAACTCAAAAATCATAAACACGTGTTCAAATGAGAAGTTTCCATTATTTTTGAACAGTTAGATCCCTAATCATTACTTCACTTAAATATTTCCTTTTTTTCCAAAAATAGTAATGAAAGAGAAGCATACACTAGGGATTCTGCACTTACCAAACACATAAGAAATATGGCCAACTTTAATCATGCTACCCAAAATTTTTTGAAATGTGTGTGTCTTGAGGATCAGTTATTCAGGTTTTAGCTCCCGTTTCTATTGATGTTCCAGATTGCACAGTGGCCGTACTAATCAGAATGACAGGATTACATTGGATAAGCAATATCTGCCATCTGCTGGAAGGATGTTTTCTAGCACTGGTAAGGCTGGAGTTATTTGGTTAGGTGGCCAAATACAGGGAAACTCAACTAGCAGCATTCTAGAAGTTGCTGAGAAATTGAAACTCGATCTGCAATATAATAAAGACCTTCACGTGCTGTTTACTAGTGGAGAAAGGAGTCACAGAAAAAATGATTTCCAGAGCAACCTAATGGAACAGGAGTAGACACTTGATCTAAGTCATAATTCCCTTTTCTGTACAGTATCCCACACTGTTACCACTGGTGCTGCAAACAAACAAACAAACAAATCAAAATAAAGGGGGAGGGGTGTAAACCCCACTAAAACCAATTTTCTATTCACATCATTTTGACAGTATGATCTTCCTCTATCCACTCTGCAATTATCTGCCAGAAACAGAATACAGCAATACTGTATATTTGAACAGAGAAGAGTCTCCGTCTTCTTTTCTTATTTTACATAAGTAAGGCATTTGAGTTACCATGATGATAAAATATGTTAGAAAGGGAATCAAACTTAGTGTTCCTGTAACAGTATTTTTGATCTAGATGGCTACTCTTCCATGCATATGTTTTGCATACAGATAGATTTTACATTAAGTATCTTTGGGATCTTGACAAAAGTCTGCTATTTGGCTGTGCTTTTTAATGCCTCTGAAAGTATTCCATTAGGTTTCAAACTCGTATTTCCATTATATGAATGAATGGAGTGAAATGCTAACAGAAATTGCACACTGCCTTTGCTATGCTTTGGTGAGTAGCAGTATGCTAGCTGATTCGGTTAATCCATTAGTGTGCTGTTGCAGGACTTGTAGCACTATTATGACAATTATCCATCACTTCTGAACCCATAGCCCTCTTATCAGCTGCATATAATTTTGCCACATGAATAGCTCGGTCTGGAATATTCCATGCTGGATGCTTGCCTCTGGACAATTTTGTAGAAAACTGTAGTCAAAAGCTTTCAGCTGTTTCTAAAAAACAAAATTAAGAAAAAAAAAATACATTGTTTTGACCGTGTTAAAAAATTCTGGCAGGCTTTTCTTTAAATAGCTTTAGTACATTCATCCTCTGCTACAGGGACTTCCTGTTTGCAAGCTGGGTGGTCTATTTATTGAGATGACCTTCTCGCTATCCTCATGAAATTTTGCAAAGTCTGTCCATGTTATAGACTTTGGAGCCTTTGTATAACACATGTTTTCAATAGAGACCCCAGCACATACACACACTCCAGCCTCAGGCTGCACACTACTTTCCCCACGTTTCTGACTCCAAGCTGATATCACTGCTGGCTGGTCTGGGCATATGGTCTGAGAGCAAGGATGCACTTTCAACAGCCACAACATCAGGTCTTGGTGGTATAGGAGAGAAGAATACTATGGTAAGTGTGGGTGGTACGGTGTGGAGTGGTGTGGATTGGAGCAGTGTGGTGAGGAAGATGCAGCGCGAGAGAGAAAAGCTGGAATGGGCTGACAAGGTGCTGAGAGCAGTGGGATGGGAACAGTCGAGAGACTGAGGTGGCTAGCTTAGACCTAGTTTGAGATGAGATTGAGATGAAGACCTAGAGGAGAGTGACAGTGAACAAACAGGTTGGTAAGTAGGAGGTATGAAAGGAAGATGGGTTCAATTAGTGATCATATATGGTGTAAACAGTGGGAAATGTCTAGGAAAAAACACTAGAACAAGTAGCCAAGAGTACCTGACAAATGTAAAGGAGAAGATTGGAAATCACTGTGAATAGGAAAGCTGAGGAAGAAAGACTGGATGAGGAGTTAGGAGAGAAGAAACAATATGAATAAGACAAGCATGAAAACATGAACCCAGAAAATAAAAGGGGTCAGTCAAGGAGATAGAGTGAGAGCGCAGCTAGGATTTTGTTGGATCACAGATCAGTACTGGCTTGAGAAGTCTGTCAGACTGAGTATCCTGAAAGATCATTTATTTCAAGACTCCTTGAGCAGTACTGGACATGTGTCCTCATGTGGACTGTCTGAGGTATGGGCTGTAGGCTAGGTATCTTGATGTCATTACGTATTATCTTTTCCTCCTGTTTCATTCACTGATCTGCTCTAATGATGCACTTACCATTAGTGTAGTAAAGGAAACTGTGTTGTTTGCTGGTCAAGATGTGCTTTTAACAGAGGTGAATGAAGAATTTAATTCAGTAAACATACCACCTATCACAGACAGCCTGTTTTTATTTGGCTATATCACTTCCCTCAGGAAGTCTGTGCATGTGTGTGTTTGCACATATTTCTCTTAGGTTACCTTTCCTTCATGGAGTGGGAGGGAGGTATTAAGGAGGAGACAGTGATCTATCACCTCGAACTCTTGAAGACACACTGATCTATCACCCTATCATTCTTGCACGTTGTTTTAAAAATGAACCTCAAGTATTGTCATGTTTCTTCTGGTATGAAGAGAGATGAAAAGTATAAGCTCACGTTTGGAGAGGCAGCACATTGAGCACCACAGACTGGAGAGGACAAGATGCACGGGCAGAGCTCTGGAGCGCTGGCAGTGAGCACCAGCTGACTGGAAGCTGCTGCATTTCTTGCACTGACTAATATGAAGATCCCACTCAGTCTCTGGCCATACATACAATTTGTAGAGCAACTTAATCTCAAGAGTTCCCCACCAGTTTACTCGTAATTTTTGAAGGTCACGTTGGTCTCAGAGGCACTCTACTGATAGACAGTTAGTAATTCATTATTTTTGGATTTTCATAACCATGGTTAGAAGTTATTTTGTGGCTTCAGTAATAAAGACGTCATTTTCTCATGCAACGGAGGAACACAGGGAGAAAGTAATTAAGAGCCACTGTACAATGCCCCTATCTACTGAAGACAGTAGTGAAAATGTTCATTTTCATGACAGTAAGAGGAAAAACACATATGAGACTAAAAGAAACTTAGTCATATGTGTAACATTAGGGATGAGTGGATTTAGAATGGATACACAATCATTGCTCCCTAAAATGCTGCATATAAAACCTCCAAAGTCCTGTAAAATGTATGTTTTGCTAACTAGCAAAAAAAAAATTTGAAATATTTAAAATATTTGTATCTGGAGTATAATTTGTATAATTTTAAGAGAGCCTTAGTACAACAACTGATCTGTAGTCTCTTTACACTGGGTTTAGAACAAATATGAAAGAACAACCCATGTTATTCAGTGATGGACAAGGGAGTCTTTTAAAGTGGGTGAGTGATGTGTGTATTTAAAGGCTTCCATTGCTCTCTGGTGGTAAATGTTCCCAGGCACCAAACATCTTCCAAATGGTCAAAACCAGAGTTTTTTCAATCTCCTCTAAATTCTAAGCTATTTTCTTTCATCTTTCTCAGTCCACCCTTGCCTGTTCCTGTCTTGGGTTCATGTGAGTGCAAAAGAGTTCTGTGGTACTGCTGCTTAGTGCCCAGAAAAAGCTGTGGTGTGCAGCTCTTATGTGCTGCAGCTAATTAGTGTCAGGAGGAACAAAACTAGAAAGAAAAAAAATGATATCTTGAAAATATTCTTAAGTTGTTTTTTTTTAATAGGACCAAAAAATAATTTCTCTCTCCTAGGCTGGTGTCAGAAAAACAGAACCCAATTCACGTAAGTACACTTCAAATGTGATGTATATTTATTCCCCGTGCACAAAATTTCTCCCCCAACATCTTTTAGCTGGCAACATTGAGGCAGAACTAAAAAAAAACCTTTTGAGACTTACTTGGAACTTGCTGCTGCCTCCCTGTAGCCCAGTTTCTGGATGTTTGAGCTTCAATTCACAGGCACATGCCAATACAAAACCCCATATTGAGCTCAGTGGGATCATTTGTGACACTTTTCTTCTTGATGTGATTTCCTGGGTTTGGCAAGTCTTTATGCCTCTCTCTCTAATGAGAAGCATTTCAATTCTCTGGTCTCTGGGTAGTTCATCTTTGTTTTAAACTGCTCCCACTTGTTACCATAAGGTCAAATTTTCAAAGCTGCTGAAATGCTAAAGTTGGGAAAGAGGCATAAAAGGGGTAAGGGCATGGCAAAAATATTTCTCAAGGACGTCACTAAATACCTGTGTAAAGAACTGACTGCATGTGCTCAGGACTCTAGATTTCTGTATGTTGTGCCTATGACCAAGAATAACATGACCAATGATTATATGTTCAATAAATATTTCTGAACCAAGTAAAAGGGATAGGTGATATCTACCAAGGGTCTTTATAAAGAAAATAAGGTCTCATGGACAGGGACTGTCTTTTTGTTCTGTTTGTACACTACACATATTATTGAGTTCCTCAAGGGAACCTACTGAACAGTACAAAAAATAAGCAGGTGAAGAGCTTAGTCAAAGGATCACTTAACAGTTAAACTGTAGTCCACTTTTTGTTCCTTTTTTAATTCTGCACCTGCAAGGAACATTCAGCAACACCTATGTTCAAGATGTGGGAGCCTAACATGAATTTTACCTAAAGACAAGCTGAATGGAAAAGACTAAATGTTTTCAGCACTGTCAGATTGTTAATATTGAGTAAAAGCACAAGCATGATCAGCATGATCAGTATGAAGTCCTGCTATTGTTTTTGGTGGCTTCTGGCTGAGGGGATTAATGCAAGGAAGGCATGAAGAACTATGCTTGTCCAACACTTTGGTCTTGGTGTTTTTCTCTAGATGCTGTTTACTTGGGTTTTCTACTTTAATCCACAGCAAAAAGCTTTCTAGTGATCTGCATCATTTTTCAATGCTGAATAAAGCTGTTAACAGCCTTACAGCAGGTGAAATTTATTAAATAGGTGCCAAGTTTGGAAATCTTGTTTTCTGATGCTTTACTGCAGCATCTTAACAACCACATTCAGTGTTCCTAGTCAGTTACTTCTTGTTAAAATATCACATAACTGATTAAGGATCCTGATAATACAAGAAAATAAGTAATTTTTTGTGTCGTTATTACTCTCGGTGCAGCTCTCACTTTTCCCTTATACCCTATTATATTGCAAACAGTTGCTACCATGGCTGATGAAGGGAGCACAAGGGATCAGATGAACGTTTTCTTTCTAAGCAATCTCAAATAATTTTCCAACACTGTAAGTCACTGATTACTCTTCATTCTCCTGATCTGCTCTTCTCCAGCACCACAACGTCTTCTCCCCTTTTCTGGGAATTAAGCTACTCTAGTTCTCCACTTCTTCAGAAGAGAGCTCCAAAAGCTGATTTGATTTCTGCTGTAATTTTATTGAGGCTTGGGTAGTTATCAGTCTAGACAGACAATTTAATCAGGATGGTACTCCCTAGCAGCCAAGACAAATACAAGATCTCCAAGGAAAAGCCAAAAATAGAGAATGCTAAGTCAGGTTTTTTTCTTTATTTCAAGATGTCATTCTTCTCTAACTCAAATAGCAGATGGAGCCTCTTTCTTACTTTTCTCAGTCAGACTGATCCATTCAAATGTTTGGGTCCTTACAGCAGTAATGAAAAGCAATGTTGCAGAGGCGTCCCAAAGCACACATAAAGGGGATGCCAGTGTAGCTAAACCCCAGCAAAAAAAAATGGAAATGATTCATCAAAAAATGTATTGACGTGCCCTGAGCAGTTTGTACTTGTTGTATTAAGAGTACAAAAATGTGACAGAAAATACACCTCCTTGTGTTCCAGTTGATCCTTAGAGATCAGGGAGGCTGGATGTAGCTGACATTAATTTCTGATTATAACCAGTTCAGCACAGTTTAGTCATGTTCAATAAGAACTGTCATGAACGTGGGTTCACAAGTAGTGCAATTTTGACACTATGAGTCTGATTGCATTCAATTAGAATTGTGCCAGCACAGATTCATGAATGGTGCGATTTACCTTTCTGATACTGTAGCTCTGGAAGAGTTCAGATCCAGAGTCACAAACAGTAAGGTTTATTGAAGCAACAGGAAAACAGGTTCAAGATTACCACTGGAAAGTGCACTAACTACAGTGTGTTATGATGGGTAGCAACCCAAGGTACAGAAACAGAGATCTATTAAAAATACATATGTGTGTGTGTGTGTGTGTGTGTGTGTGTAAATAAATATTCCTGAGTCTGCTCCAACACAGTTGGAGGCACAAAGCTCCTAAAGGCATCCCTCTGGGAAGAAGGAGAGACAGAGTTAACTGATCAATGCCAAACAAGCAGAGGTGTTTTCCACCTCTCTTCTTTTATCTTTTTTCTTTCATTTTCTGTCTCCAACCCCCCTTTTTTTTATACAATAATTTTTAAACCATCCCAAAAGGAGGGAACAATTTCATGTAAATGGGGTCCTGGTGACTGTGGTCACACATGTAAGGCATCTTCTCTTTTCATTTGCATTCTTAAGGGGGGTGAAAGTTAATAAGCAAACAGGGCTCAATGACGGTCTTGGTTACTTTCACTCAGAATTCATAGTTGATACAAAGACTAAATTAAACACTTTGATCCTCCTCCACCTATGAAGAAAGTAGTAAAGACCGTCTGACATTCATTGGACAGCTTTTGCTTGCCTACGTATCTCCTTGGAGGACCAGATTTGTAAGAAGGCTTGTTTTGCACAGTGAAGGGGGAGTGAGGTCTGTAGCTGGTCCAGAGGTTTGGGTGCTCTTCTGTGCTTCACTGAAACATCAGCCATGAGATCCCCACTTTGCTCCAAACATCATTCCGTTGTTAGGCCTTGCTCGAGCCAGGTGCAAGATAAGCAAGAGGCTCAGCTCATGCATTTCCCAATCAGTCTCATCAATTCTTTACCAGCTTAAGGCAGCTCTGTAGCAAGTCCGACAATTTACCACAGAATGATAACAGACAGGATAAAAGCAAGATGTAACATACACATGGAGCAACTGGAGTAAAGGCTAGCAAACTATTAAACTATATTATATTTTAAGTATTGTTTCTTATTCAGTTATGTTATATATTATAGCAGTATTTCTTTAATAAAAAAAAAGTATCCAAGAATGAGTTACAGGTACTATGGAATTGGAAAAGGGCAAGAGTGCAGGCATAACTCTGAAATTAAAAACGTGTCAGGATCCAGAAGAACTGGAGGGTCTAGGAGGAAGGTGTCAGAGGACAAGCATATGAGATAGCAGATACAGTAGTAAAAGAAATAGGGTTAACAAGAAAGAAAAAACACCTAACATCCACTCTGGAGGATGCAGTATGTCGTTTGTGCCCTGTAGAATAAATGAACAATCTATTGGCATTTTTAAAAATCTCCTCTCTCCATTACTGCTCAAATGATACTACAAGAAATGTAGCATTTCAGGATTTATCCAAGAAAACGCTGTGAAAAATAGTCACCATAAATAGAACTACTTTAAAAGATTATCCAGACAGCAACATCAGGGATTACATGTAACTGTTGGAGGCACTTTGGCATCTGCATAATTTTATCACCTTGTCCTAGTTAGGACAGCTGAGACCAGTTCATCACGGTATGGGTGCAACCCAAAACTGTGTATTCTATAGCCTTCCATGCCATTTCCCAGAAATTGTTAGCAGTAGAGGCCTGTAGATGTTCCTGTCCTCATACCCTTTTATGGAATTCCCCGCTCTGAGGGAAGGACTGAGCATTCCTGCCTGAACTGGAGAATATATAAACTTGGAGTTTTGGAACCTTTTTACCACTCGTGGGATCCAGAGGAAGACTGCAGCTCACCGCTCTCAACCAGACTGCAGCTCACCACCCTCAACTGGACTGCAATCACCACTTTTGACCAGACTGCAACAGCTCTCCCACCAGCAGGTTTTTTCGCCTCTCCCTTTACTTTGGACTCGGGGGGGGCCCAAGAAACACCACTTTGTTCATGCCCCAGGGTGCTGGGTTATACATTTGGGTTTTGTGGGTTAAAACCAAATTGCTTGTCTGTATAATCGTACTTATTGTATTATTTTATTAAATTGTTATTCTGACTTATAATCTCTCTTTTGAGTTGAGTTCATTTCCCCTGCTGGTTAACTTTTAAACCAGCACACACCTTAGATTTTAATAGGAGTCCATTTTCTTGTAAAGAAATGTTGCTCCTTTCCTAACGCACACAAGAGTGCTGATGTACTGAGAATATTTTCTTATTATTTTTGAGTAGAATTCCCCAAAGGATAACCCACGCTTTATGAGAGGATTTGACCCATGATTTTAATACAGGAAATAGAATATCTGTTTTAGACACAATAAAAATGGAGCAGAAATTGTTGAATAGTCTGCATAAATGACACATAATGATAATGAACCTAAGTATCATAAAAGTTAGTCCTTATGTTAGAGGACTGCTTGTCTTTTTTTTTTTTTTTTTTTTTTACTTCAAAGGGGCTGTAGAAATAGAATGGAAAAAAAGAAGGCAAGAGGACATGCAGAATTTTCTCAAGGACAATGGTCATGGATGAGTAAAACATTCTGATGGCACAGAGACAGCACAGCTGCAGGTAGAAAGCTGGGGTGCTGCTCAGAAATTCAGTGTGCAGTCGGCAGTGTTTACATCACAAAGGTTCATCATCATGAAAATGCTTTGAAAAATATGTGGAATTCAACACCTGTGACTTTTTAGATCTTCACTTTTATGAATGAAACGCTTAGGCCTGTTCACCTTTTGGAAGATATAAAATGCCTCCTGAAGTCCAACATACAGAAAAATCAATTAGTAGTGAATATGACAAAATGGAATTAAAGGGAAGTGTTAATGACTTTGAGTCAAATTGCTGGCTAGCAGTTTTAGTTAGAAGACAGGGTGGAAAATCCATATAGGTTGAAACAGTTCAACCTCTTTGCAATAAAATATTTCTGTTCAGAAGTGCCAAAAGCTCTAAAAGACAAATTATTTTTTTTCAAAATAACATTTTCTCTTTTAAAGATAGCTAAAACAAGAAAAAGACTAAGCAAAAGACATAATTCTAAAAGAAACAGGAAAAAAAGAGACAGGTTTCACATTTTCTTTGGTCACAATTGGTTTTGCTTTTTCAGAAAGGAATTCTTGCCTTTGTCCAGGTTTAGCTTTCTGTCCAAAGTATCTGTTTAATTCTGAGCTTTCTTTTTATTCACATACTGATTTCAGGCTCTGTAATGTATTTTCTCAGTGTAAAATTCACTCTTTTCTCAATATTTTTTCAATGGTTAGAAGGTTGGAGCATAAACTACAGAAGAAGACCTGGTTTTGTTTAGCCTGGAAAAGACAAGGCTAAGAGGAAATTAACTACTGACTTCAGCTAAACTAAAGAAGAGTTATAGAGAAAAGAGTCTGGATCCCTTTCCCCACCCACAACGTGGGGGAGCCCAGTTCTAGTTCCATCTCCATCTGAAGAACCATTCCGACGTCTTGAGGGACGGGGAAAGGGGACTCCAGCGACAGGGTTTTTCAGGCCCCGAGCCTGGAGGGGAGAGGTGCCCTCCCCTCCCCCCAGCACCCACGTGGTTCCATGGCAGGCACAGAGACAGCACACCGGCGTGGAGAGGAGGCAAGAGAGGGTTTATTGTTGGGGGTTGTTACTTTTATAGGGTATGGGAGAATCACAGGTTAACCAATTAGAAGTCTCAAGGGGTTTACAGGAACACCCAATCACAGGAAGGGGTTAACAAGGACCAATGGGAAACACGTCAGGACACCTTTCCCAGGACATTCCTGCATGGGAGATAACAGTTGTCGTGGGGGGTGTTGGGAAGAAGAAACACGTGTTTGCAAAAAGACCTCAAAGAACCAGTTTAAGACATGTTTAAACAACAGTTTTCCCATATAATGCAGCTTTAGTGCCACAAAAGAGCACCAGACTCTTCTCAGATGTGCACAACAAAAAGAGGCTGCAAGCCATGTCACAGAACATTCCAGCTGGAGATAATCTTTTTCACAAGAGTGTGGCCAAGCACTGGCATATGAAACTAGAGAACCTGAAAAATGTCCATTCTTGGAGACTTTCAAAACCTGATTGGGCAAGGTTGAGCATACTGATCAAACTTCAGAGTTAGCCCTGCTTCATGCAGGGGATAGGAATAGATGGGTCATTCCAACTTCATTTATTCTGTAATTCTAAATGTGAATGTTTTGCATAGTAGTGCTCTGGTTTAGATGAAAACCATACACAGAATGATTAAGGAACAATTACATGATTACCAAAAAGCATTGGTCTGGCAGCTAATGCACAAATTCCATAGAAATCTAGGTGGTCTTTCACGCTCTACTTTAGACTTTCAGGCTAAGCTTGGCTGATGTCTAGGAGGAAATTCACATCCTGAGCTTGGTTTGGACCACTCCAGCTAACTTTCCAACCAAAACTCAGTCAGCATGCTCAGGTTAGCTTACAGTAAGCACTGTTGACAAGGTTTGGCTTTCTCTGATCTGCACAGTCCTTACATTTTGAAACATCTCCACAGATCCTTACAGCACACAGTATGCACCCCCCAAACTCATTCTATAAAAACTTAACTGTGGCAAGCTGCAACACAGTCCTCACATTGTTTCCGACAGCTTGACCTAAAAAGACCTTCAGAAAAATAGCAGTTATTTCTTAGGGTTATAGGAGCATCACATGGCACCTGAATGAAACTCAGAGGCACAACCTATTCAGTATGGGCACAGCCCATGAGTTAAAGCAGCATGAGTTAAACAGGGTGCGAACCAGTGCCACCCCAGAGTCAGGAACTGAAACAGTCCCTGGGATTGTTTTACTGAGCATCATAGACACACATACTAAAGACACAGTGGTCTTTCACAGGGTCATGTTTCATCAGGTTTTAAATGAGGCTGAGGTTTTTACTCTGTATCAGCATAATTTCAATTTGAAGTTGATTTTAAAATCAGAAAACCTTTTTCCTATTTGATTTTCTAAAAAGCCAATAGGTATGTAAATTTTCACACTAAAATAACTACGAATGCCAATTCAAGTACCCAAAAGTTAGGAAATGCCATCTCTAGGGCTGACAGTTCAGACTGAATTCGCAAATGATCTATATATTATTCATATTTTCATAATTGACTTGTGGGAGTTTTTCTCCTCCCATGGGACTATACAGCTTTCCATCCACTAAAAAAAGGGACCGAAAACACATGATATCCTACCTTGGGCAAGGGTTCAGGTTTTCTGGGTTACCAAGAGTACAGCTGCCAAGAACAGGTTTTCTCTGTGGTGGACCTCAGAGCTTCACAGATGCCTGAGCTTCACAGCACTCTGCTACATGAGCCATCAGGAGAACAGGACCAGACGAGGCTGCATTGAAAGCTCAAAGAGAAACATTTTCCTTTGTGACTGTCATTTCCCTGAGCTGGAGTTTTCTGATAACATTTAGTATTTTGGAATATTTCCACCTATCTCTAGGGTAGAATGACAGAAACCAGTCCTAGCATGTAACAAAATTATTTACAGTAGAACACATAGGAACGACTCAAACAACTTGAATATGTCTACACTGATGTCCCTGCTGTTTCTGTCAGTAGCTACTTCAGGTACTGACAGCACAGGAGAGTCAGCAACATAGACTGTAGTGCTAGAGGCTAAACGATAAATGAGCCTGCACCCTTGGATTCTGTAATTGTATTGCTAGTAAATTAACCACATGGTTTAAAGCTAACTTGGTGCCATCGCTATGAACAGCACCCACCTCTTGATTAAAATGCAGTATGATGAAAACTGTCTTGCCTATAAAAAAAGCTGTGAAAACTTTCCAAAGATAAATGTCAGAAGACATAATACAGGAGATATTTAATGTACACTTAATAAAATAGAGAAAACAATGTTGTACAACCAGTGATGTGTGCTAATAGGCCTATAATTTGGTCTTTGCTTTCCATTAATTCAAAGGGTTTTTCCTCAGCTGGGTAGCAAGTCTTTGCATGTTTATTTTTCTCAGTACTTAGGGCTGATAGAAATTTGAACGTGAACAGTTTGCCGAAGTGTTCTTCACCTCCCAAGACACTCATGAGCTCTATCAGTCATAGGGACAACTTAGCTTTGATGACTAAACACTATTTATGTCAAAGGTTTAATGAAAACAGACTTAGCCATTGCACAAGGAATTAAGTTTAGTATTTTTATCAGAATATTTCTGTATTTGAATGATATGGTTATGCCCAAGAATGTAAACTATAAAAAAAATAATGTAAAATTGAGAAAGACTTTGAAGAACACATTACTCCCTAACAGTGAATTTTGATTTAGGATTCTGGGTCAGCTCAGAAAGCTGATCATACCAACAGGAAAAAAAAATAAGGTGAACTTTCAAGGTCAGAGAGGGACATGGCTTACTCATATAACTGAACTCTTCCTCTTCCCTTAGGAAAGAAATTCTTCCTGAAGTACCGCATCAGAAAAATTGAAATTGTTCAAAGTCTTGCTGAAATCACTGACCACTATGAGACGAGAAGGCCACTGAGCATTAGTCCAGGTCTACCAGCCATGGCCCAGGTAAACAAGCTCTCAGGGGACAATATTTGTTTGCAAATACTGCAAACACACACCTTCCTTCAGCCACCCCCTTAGAGCCTCTCTCCTAATTGAGCTTTGTCCTTTCCCTCTCCCAACCCCAAATTATGTTAGTGGAGACTTAGCCCCAAATACCCCAGACACTGTGTTGGATGACACTTTAAATATCCTACAGCAAATCTTTCTTGCAAAATGGAGCTCTAGGCTCTGCCCTGTTAAACCTCTAACTTAGTCTGAATGCAAAGGCTTAAGTCTTAGCTCCAAACCCTAAACTAGTATCCAGATTAAAAAGATTTCAGGAGAAAAGTATTTTTGCAGCCCACCCCTTAGGGTAGGCTGCACCTTTTCTGTCCCACGCCAACTGTAGCTCTAGGTTTTATCTCTCTCCCAGCTATGTATGTAATGTTAACACTAACCCTAACCCAAGACATTAGTTGCGCCTTCCTCAAAATGCCCAGCCGTGGCCTGGATGAAAACTGTCCCAGGGAAGAATTTTTTCCTGTCCTACCGCTCTTTGGCTGCCCTTTGTAGCTCCACACCAAGTGCATCTCTAGTCATGATGACGACCCTTCTCCTAATCCAGTCCTTAACTCTGAGCCCACTCTGCAGCCTGGGCTAACTCTTAGCCTAAGATACCCAGCCATGGGCCAGATGAGTAATTTCTCAATGAAAACTGTCTGCAGATTACTCATCCCCATCCTGGTTATTTGTTAACATTGCCAAGGATGGTAATTCTTGGATTTTTTGTTGCTCCCTCCTTCAGGATAAATAATGAGTATTTACCTTAGTATTTTCAATAAATTATGTATTGAGTTCACCTTAAAGCAACTCAGACTCATGAGCCATGTAAGACAGCAAAATTGCCTATTCTTCAAGATTTTTTCAACTTCCTGTCACAAGAGAAACCTTGAATGTGTTTTGTTGGGATTCTGCTTATTTAACTGCTGAGAGGCTTAATTTGTTTCTGCTGCATCCATCTTACTTCTAGTCTAAAGAATGTCTAGAGCTGCAAGACACATGGCTTCAATATTGTTCAAGATAATCATAAAAACCACATGAAACAGATATTTTGAGACTGTAAGGCAATAGTTTGTTTTTCCTCATGCCATGACAAATGGCAGGTGCTGAGTTTAAATATGGTTGTGGAAAGGTATTGTGTAAGGTATGTTTAATAGCAGCTGTGGTAAAACAAGGAATGTTTGCAGGGTCAAGAGAAATTTCATTTAAAAAAATTAAATTAAGCTTTGTCTCCATTCTTTTTGGTTTTTCTTTTATTTTCTCTTTTGTAATGTATCATTCAGACTTATGCTGTGATCTTTGTGAGAATGACATAAGAAAGATGATGTTTTATATTAGCACTGCTAGAAGAATCCTTGGGGTAGCTTTGATCAAATTTACTAATGCAGTAGAAGATTAATACTAGACTAATGTAAGTATTGAAGTTAGCATGAAAGACAATGTTTGCTTTATTTGATGAGTACTGTCAGAGTAGTGTATTTGTTCCCAACAGTTTTAATGAGTCACACAAACTTTCTTCAAAATATTTCAATTTGCTACAAACTGTATGCCTATCTATGGCTGTATCTCATTAGTTCAGAATAAAAATGAATTTATTCGTTTCAGATTAACTTACTTCACCAGCCGAATCGAACCAAAAGTGGCTATTTTCAGGTGAGTATCTGCTCCCTTTGTTCTTTTTTTCACACAGAAATGTTTCCTACAAGCGCTTGGCTTTTCACGGTGCTGCCACTTGATGGTGCCACGGTGTTGCACTGAAAACCTACAGCGGGTCAATCGCTTGAACTGTGGAATTCAGCCCCACCAGGTTCTTGAAGTGTTTTCTTTAAAATGAACAATACCTACTGTTCTATGGCTTCGAGTAAAGTAAAAAAAAAAAAAAAAAAAAAAAAAAAAAAACCACAACACCAAAAAACCAACCAAACAACAACAACAACAACAAAAAAAAAATATCCACTGTAGCTGAATGACGCTTTCAAATGTGTTAGGCATATTTTTTCAGTTAATGTATTTAAAACTAAAACTACATGTTTTGTCACCTCTATCTACATAGTGCAACATCTTAAACAAACATCTTAAGCAAATATCTTAAACAGACATCTTAATATACTTATAATTTATTTGGGATGTTAGGGTGGCTGAAATGTGCAACAACTGGTATGATGATAATTAATATTTTCAATAAATGTAAACAGTGTATGCTAAAGCATGCTTGACTAATTGATCTCCTTCTATGACAAGGTGACCCTCTCAGTGAGGGAAAGAAAGGCTGCGGGTGTTGTCTACCTGGGCTTTAGTAAAGCCTTTGACACTGTCTCCCACAGTATTCTCCTGCAGAAGCTGGCTGCTCATGGCTTGGGTGAGTGCCCTGTTTGCTGGGTGAAAAAACGGCTGGATGACTGGGTCCAGAGAGCAGTGGTGAACGGAACTAAATCCAGTTGGCAGCCAATCACTAGCCATTCCCCAGGGCTCAGTATTGGCTCAGTCCTGTTTAGCATCTTTATCAATCACTTGGACTAGGGGATCAAGTTGACTCTCACCAAGTTCGCAGCCAACACCAAGTTGGGTGGGAGTGTTGATGTGCTGGAGGGTAGGAAGGCTCTGCAGAGGAATCTGGACAGGAGGGATTGATGGGCTGAGGCCAATTGTAAGAGGTTCAGCAGCCAGCAGGACTAAGGATTTTCCCTCTGTACTTGGCACTGGTGAGGCTGCATCTCGAGTCCTGTGTCCAGTTCTGGTCCCCTCACTACAGGAAGGACATTGAGGTGCTGGAGCAAGTCCAGAGAAGGGCAACAGAGCTGGTGAAGAGTCTGGAGCACAAGTCTGATGAGGAGAGGCTGAGGGAGCTGAGGTTGTTTAGCCTGGAGAAGGGAAGGTTCAGGGGCGACTTTATTACTCTCTACAACTACCTGAAAGGAGGCTGTAGCCAGGTGAGGGATGGTCTCTTCTCCCATGTAGCAAGTGACAGAAGAAGACGAAATGGCCTCAGGCTGCAGCAGGGGAGGTTTAGGTCAGATATTAGGAAAAATTTCTTTACTTAAAGGGTGGTTAGGCATTGGAATGGGCTGCCCAGGGAAGTGGTGGAATCCCTGAAAGCATTCAAAAGGTGTGTGGACATGGTACTTGGGGACATGGTTTAGGGGAGAATACGGTGGTGCTGGATTAACAGTTGGCCTCGGTCTTAGAGGTCTTTTCCAACCTTTATGTTCCTCTGATTCTGTAAAAGGCTTATAAAAAAGACAGTATTATGACTTGGAATTGAAAAAAAAATAATATTCTAAAAGTATATAAATGTCTACCAGTAAAATGCTCTGTCTGAAATTGTTGCTACCTCTACTTCCAGAAAAATCCCTTGTTCCAAATGAAGTCAATTAGAAAAGCGTGACTTGACTGTCTGGTGGTATCATTAAAAAAAAGTAGGACTTAGAAGCAATTTCAGACTACTTTTCTAAGACACTTTGAAAGCATTAAATACTTGTACGTAAGCGATATACTGACTTTACAAAATAAAGCAAAGTTATGGGTATAGAAAGCAGAGTATGCTATCACTATGCTGCTTAAACAAATGAAAATCATTTTACTGCATTTAAAATTCTAAGTATCCCATGCAGATTTCAATGCATTAAACCAAGATATTTTTCTAGCAGGTTATGAGAGAAGAATGTTTTGTTAAGTCAAAATGCAGATGGGAGCAATGAGACACAATGTTCATTTCCAGCAACACACCACGGCCATGAGACTATAGTCACTGCAAAGCCGTTCAACAAAGTCAGCCCTCAGGTTTTGACAACCCAAATTCTATAGGAACTCCGGAAGCTGTGAGACTGGATTTCTGAAAAATCAAGACATGCATTTGGGGTCAAATTTTTTAAGGCCTATTTTTGAAGTTCATGGAGAAACACAGTTCTGGATTTTGTAATAATAAAAGAACTCCCACTGCAGTACACACAGCTGTATTTTTCATAAAGCTATTTAATTCAATGTATTAAGCCAAATTGTGGGAGTCAAAAATCTTAAAAAATGTGGGTCATAAAATATATCTACTCTATATTGCCTTGTCTAGTATACTGAGAAATAAAAGCACATGTTTGCGGGGGTTTGGGGGGTTTTTTGGCAAGATTTTCAAATACCACTTCCACAGACAAGATAGCCTCCAAGGGGCCCCGATCCCGGCCTCTGAAGCCTGACAGTGAGGAGTGTCTACCTGCAAGTCGCAGAGACCCCTGGTGTGGCCCCTGGGCTGCTCCGGGTGTGACACTGGTGGTGTCACCAGAGCTGTGCTGCCCCTCCAGGGCAACCGCTCACGAAAACAGGGCTGGTTAGCCATGGCTACTGTGGAAATGCACCCCTGTCGCCAGGGCACGGACACAAGCACCTGGCCATCCCTCACAGTGTGCCCTGGTGGCCAAGAGGGCCAATGACATCCTGGTATCAGGAATTGTGGTCAGCAGGACCAGGGTAGTGATTGTCACCCTGTACTTGGCACTGTGAGGCCGCACCTCAAGTCCCGTGTCCAGTTCTCGGTCCCTCACTACAGGAGGGGCATTGAGGTGTTGGAGCAGGTCCAGAGAAGGGCAATGGAGCTAGGGAAGGGTCTGGTGCACATGTCCTATGACGACCGGCTGAGGGACCTGGGGTTGTTTAGCCTGGTGGAGGCTCAGGCAGGACACCTTAACTCTCTCTACAACTACCTGAAGGATGGTGTAGCCAGGTGAGGGTTGCCCTCTTCTCCCAGGTCACGAGTGAGAGGACACAGCCTCAAGCTGTGTTGGACGTTAGGAGGAATTTCTACACAGAAAGGGAGATTATACACTAGAATGGGCTGCCCAAGGAGGTAGTGGAATCACCGTCTTTGGAGGTGTTTAAGGAAAGACCGGAGGTGGCTCCTAGTGCCATGGTCTAGTTGGCACGGTGGTGTTCGGTGACAGGTTGGACTCGATGATCTTGGAGACCTTTTCCAACCCCTGGGCCGCCCCGGCGCTGCCTCTCCGCTCGCTATCTGCCACGTCGAGATTGCTGCCTTCCCTGCCGGCACCGCCCTTGGCTGGGCAGGGCCGGGCCGGGCGCGGCGCGGGAGGCGGTGGCGGAGGCGGGAGCTCCGGTGATGGCGCTGGGGCCGCGCTGCGGCGGGCGCGCGGCGGGGCCGTGACGTCGCGCGCGAGGCGGAGGGCGGGGAGGAGGAAGAGGAGGAGACCCGGGCGCCCCCGGGGCTGAGGCAGCCGCGTCCTGTCGAGGCTCCGACCGTGCCCCGTCCTCCCTCCCTCCAACCCCCGGCGCCTCCGGTTCGGGCGGGCCGGCGCGGCTCTCCCGAGGTCGCGATGCGCTCAGCCTGAGCGCGCCCTAGCCGCCCCGCCTGGTTCGGGCCTCTGCGGGGTCGGGGAGCGCGATGGCTGCGGGGAGCTGGCAGGAGGCGGCGGCCCGGCAGGCTGAGGAGGCGGCGGTCCGGGTGCGGGACGCCCTGTCGGGCGGGCTGGGTCTGCTGCGTGCCGAGCTGGGCCTGGAGCTGGGCCTCGACCCCCAGGCGCTGCCCACCTGGCTCGCCCTGGCCGTGCCGGCCGCGCTGGGGCTGGCGCTGCTGGGGCTGCTGGTGGCCGCGGCCTGCCGGGGCGGCCTCCGCAAGCAGCCGGCGAGGAGCGCGGCCGGGAGGAAGGGTGACGAGGCGGTCGCCGTGGGCCTGGCGGCCGGCGGGAGCCAGGGCAAGTCGGCGGGCCCGGGCCCCGGGCAGATCAACCTCAAAGGCGACGAGCAGAAAAAGCGAAACAGGAAGAAGCTGCCGGAGAAAGCGGCGCGGGTGAGGGGGGTGCGGGGGCCGGGAGGGCCGGGGGGTGAAAGTCTCATTGACAGCGGCGGAACGGGGCGGGCGCGGGAGGGCGAGGGGACCGCGTCTGGTGAGCGGCCCCGAGCGCGGCGGCCGCTTCCCCGGGCCCTGTGTCGGTGCCCCCGACCCGTGAACCGCCCGGCGGTCGGGTGGGCACAGCTGGGAAGGGCAGGACCGACCGTAGGGTCTGGGTGCCACAGACCTCCCGCCGAGCAATATTTGCCTGTGGAAGGGATGGTGGGGGGTCCTGACTGCTCTGAAGTCGTCACGTGTAGTCTGGATTACTTGGTTCCGCTGAAAACCTGGAGGAGAAGCGCGCACGCTCGGAAATTGCATGTTAATAGTTCTGGGTGATGAGGAAATGGCTCACTTCTTTTTAGAAGCTTTATATGGGCAACAAAAATTATATGAAAGCGTTATTTATTATTATTATTATTCAGTAAATGCTTGCGGGGTTAGGACCCAGTAGTATGGCTTACAGTTTCAAGACAGGAGTTGTAGTCTAGGCAGGTAAAGACTAGTGGAACCAGCATTCTAAGCCTCATAAATGCTGTGATGATTCAAACTTAAGTAAGCTTATTGCTGTGTATTTTCAATGGAACAAGTTAATGTCAATCATGTGGTGAGCTTGCCTCAGTAGGAATATGTCTGATTTAGTTGTTACAGTAAGGATCATCTCCTTTAATAAGGAAATCTGTGTCTTAGCAGCACCTTAAAAACAGATCATTCCTGTAATTTTTTTTTTAAATCCTCAGTATGTGGTGTGGGAACCTCCCATCTTTGACAGTATGCGTCCACTTCTGAAAAAATTAGTAGAATGCAGAAATTTTCAACAGTCCTTTCAAAGCTTCCAGTTGTCACAGTTTTGGGGCTTGAAGGGATTGCTTCTATAGCTTTTATATTGTTAGGATGTTTGTAATCCTATTTATGTCCAAATGGATTATAGGAATGAAAGTGTAGCAGATGTCCCCTGCCTGTTACAACTGTGTCATATCTTGCTCTATAAAATCTGAATTGTTTCCCTAATGGCCAGAA